TAGAGAGCCCCCCCCCCTCCTCGCCCCCCCTGCCTGTCCTTCCTAAAGAGTCTGTATCCTTCCATTCCAACACTCCAATCATAAGAGCCATCCCACCACGTCTCCGTGATGCCAATAAGATCGTAGCCCTGCAGGTGTGCGCACATCGCTAACTCCTCTTGTTTATTCCCCATACTACGTGTGTTTCAATAGATGCATTTAAGCTGGGCCCCCGATGAAGCTGTCTTACTGGCTGGGGTTCCGTTGTGCCGCTCTTCAGGTGCTCTCCTGCTGACCTGTGATCCTTCTCCAGGCTCTGGGCATCTAGTGCTGGCATTGGCATCAAACTGGTAGGAGTGGGATGGATTGAGGTTCCCCTCCCCTGACAACTTTAGTTTAAAGCCCTCTCAACCAGCTTTGCAAGCCTATGCCCGAAGATGTCCTCTTCTTGTCTGACGGATGGACCCCATATAGCACCAAGTACTATGGATCCTCAACTGATTACACCTACTTACCTGGCAATCCACTCCTCACATGAGCCCTACAATCACCTTAAAGAACGTGCCATTCACTTTGTTTGATGGGCACTGCAAGTGGGAGAGAGCAAGACGCTACCGGTGACAGGCTTCCAGTCTTAATCCTATAGCATCCTACACCTACACCTCCCCTTTAACTGCAAAATCACCCTTTCCTCTTCCAGGGCAAACTGCTGTCCCCACTCCAACCCTGACAAAGAAGAAAGAAGAAAGAAGAAGAAAAGCATTGCTGTGGTTGTGTGCGATCATCCACAATGGGGTTGCATTTGTGTCTAGGGAAAATGCTGCTCCCAGCTAATGCAAAAGCTAAACCTCTCCTGAGATGAAACATGAAAGGAGTTTCTGGCACATACCTGACATAGAGCGAAATTGGCACCACTGTGTTTAGAATGATCACATATGACCAGAACATGAGGAAGCCGGAGTAGGAGGCAGAGTTGACGCCTTCTGCCCAGGGCAGATAGACCTGGAAGTAGTAGCCCTTATCATACTCCCAGATGCCATTGCCAATGGCTAGGATAAGGCACATCAGTGCTAAAAATGCAAAGATCTGAAAGACAAAAAAAAAAAATATTGCATTTTAGAAACACGGAGTTTTTTATGTACAGGTTAATCAGAAGACCCTAATGAGATTGGGTTGGACAGCCTGAATCACAGGACAATGTTCCTAGGGGTGAAGGAGGAAAACCAGCAAAGTTATGACACTTTTACCTCAAGGACAAAATTACGTAGTGCCGAGTCTGGCAATTTGGAATCACAAGACCTCAAACAGCTGGGGATTTAAGTCCCAAGCAGACACCTAAACCAGGGTATTCATGGGCAGCTGGCTGCAGAACATCAAATCTTGTTAGAAGTGAGTTGAGCTGCAGGTCTTCAAACATCTGGCTGCACACTTGGGAATAGAAACTGCTTGGAGGACTTTACCTGGCCGTTTGCTGGATGTATCATAGTTTTCTTCACCATTTCTGAAAAACTACTAAAGATAATTTGTAACACAGAAAATCCAGCACCGTGCAGGTTGGAATTCAGCACTGGATATCATTCTGATGATTAAAGGAGAGTTAATTACTGACTCAGAACTAATGGTTGCTTTAGTACCTGCCATCACAATCTGATTACATTTCCTTTGAGCAAACAGAAAGCAACACTAACCAGTGATGTGTATCCTTGGACTTTAGAGAAGCCCACTTCCTGAAGCCTAAAGAAACCAGGGGAACAGCAACTGGGAAGAGAACTTCAAAGTGCAACACCTTACTGAAAACTGGGACTTGCTCAGGAACACCATTTAATAGACAAAAAAACATTACATAGGTCATAAAGAATTTTTGGTTAAAAGAAAACAAGAACATAGCAATACAATTATGTGGAAAAGTAGGCAAAAAGAAGGGGAAAGAAGGGAAGTTAATAGAAATTAATATAAACTGCAAGGAATTATAGAACTATGAATATCTAATAGTCATATAAAATATCAAGAAAAGAAAACAATAAACTCATGAACAGAGATGTGGAAAAGGCAGGCATGTTCAAGACAAGGGTCATCCATGAATGAAGGAGGAAGGAAGCAGAAGGAGGTATCTATCCCATATGATGTAGCAGATGGAAAAGACAGATTATCTTCTGTGACAAGGAACACTCTGTGGCTAATAATAAGCATTTCCAATCCAGTGGGTCCAGGTAATATAAAGATGAAAGCTTACAGGAACTAGCTGAGAAATTCTCTTAACTGGTAAGGTTAATTTTTAACAATGTTTTGAAAACTGGGAAACTCCACCGTACTGAAAATCTGCTAATACAATTCCAATATTTGAAAGGTAGAAATAGTGATCAAGGGAAAGATAAACTAAAGTTAACTTGACATCATTCCTGGACAAATTATAATAAAAACAGTTCTGTTGATATGGACTTCTCCAAATATTTGACTTAAACCAACCAACATCCTCATAAAAATGTGAAGATATGGAATCATCAGGCGGCACAACAAAGCTATTAAAATTCAGCTCTTGCGAGTATGGTCATTAGGGAGGAAATATCAGCAAGTTGCGTCATTATGTATAAGGCCACCCAGTAACAATCACATTACAACACTAATCAACCTTTTTAAAGAACAGTAATTACGGTACAAACGTTACAGGTAAAGCTGATAGTTGTATTGCTGAGGTAATCTATGAGAAGTGGAAGGATACTTTTATGTCCAACTTGAATTTTAATACCAAGAAGCTGCTAAAAGGGGACTGCAGTAAGTAAAGGTGATGGGCTGAGTTTCAGGGGACACATTTATTTCCCACGTAACCAGCAGCTTTTCTGTTTAATTGTGGGAGGTCCAATAAATTACTCCACTTGTGAAATGGAGACAATTTTGCTCACTTGTAAGGAATGTGGTGCCGTGTTTTTAAACCTCTGTGACCAGCAGTAAAAACAGACTTCAGTTTGTGCTGTTGTAATCATCATCACTTGAGGATATATGAGAGGCATGACCTGGGGACAGGTAATGCCCTTTTTTAAACAAATAGACATAGACAGAGAAAATAGACAAGCCTGTCCATTTTTATAGATATTTCTGTTGGTCAAGTAAAAGATACTACTCCTTTCTGCAGACCTCGTCTGTTATAAAAGAAATTAATTAGAAGAGCCAGCTGGCTCTTCTATCTTATCACTGTACCCTGAATGATTCCTCGCTGCCCCACAGGTTAAAAATTGTCGGTTTATAGAATATCACAATCCATGTAGGAAATTCAATGTATGATTTGGCAACAGAAATACACATGGGGCAAGACAGCAGCTGAACTTTCCCATATCACAGCTGCTCTTGTCTACAACTGCGCTTGCTTTATGTACGTTTTGCTTTATGTGCATTTTGCATGTCAACGCTCTCGTCCCTGACAGCTCAACTTGTGTGCAATACTCGTGCATACACAAAGGTCGCTAACACGCTGTTTGCTTTGAGACAAATACAAAAGACCAAGCCCTTAACAGTGGCCCCGGAGATTAATTTCTGTGCAGAGAAACAACTGTGTGCAGTTGTTGTAATCGTAACCACAGCTCTGCAAGAAAAGGATGAGAAAAAACCCTGAGCGTAGGCTTGTGCATGCTCATGGGGCTTCCCTGCGTGAACATCCTCCCTCTCTGGGTCCTGCCCATGCGGTGCCTGCAAAAGATCCTCTGCAGGACCGAGTAGGATTTTTGTAAAGAGGAGGTGACTTTTGACAAACTTTTCCTGTTGGACTGTGAATTAAAACTGTCTTGGTTTCCTTATTGGCACTTTGAGTTCTGCTCCAGGATTTGAAGCAATAAGTTGTTTAAGAGATGAAGGTGACAGCCCTATTTCTCTGAAAACATGCTCCCCCAAGCCTGCTAAAAAGCAAGTTTTGGAGGAAGAAGCATCCCTGGAGCTGGCGGGTGCATCCCTGGTGGAGGAACATTCACTTCTCTCTCAGATCCCTGAGAAACACTTCCAAATGTGAAAAAACAGCTATAGTTGCCATCTGGAAAGGTTCACTCCTGATTAACCCTTGTTGGGACAGACCAGGGCAACATTTAACCAGAACTCCGTTGGCGAGCCCTGCTTAAACACTGCTTTGTGCCTGAAAGTTTTATGGACAATTAAACATAAAATAGCTTTGCCAGTGTTAACATGGAACAAGTTTCATTACACTTAAAATGAGCTATTTATAGCAAGCTGTGGCTGCTTTGCATTTCCAAACTCAAGAGCGCAATATACTGCCTCTTTTTATGACCGTGCTTTGTAACCTTCGACCACCCAGTGAGCTGGAAGAAGCTGATGCCACATTCCCTTGGGTGTGCAAAGAACCTGGCGCTTAGGGTAGAACAGAGCTTTACTTAGACACCAAAATGTTAGGTGCCTTAAAAATGTGTAAAGGAGAAAAACACACCCTTGGCTCCATCAGCGCCCAAGAACCCAGGCAGAGGCTGATGCAATCGGCTGCAACTTGTTCACTTTTTTAAAACGGAGCCAGGAGGTAAATTCGTCTCGTTTGTGTTCATGAAGAGAGGCCAAACAGACTGAAAGCTCCGGGTGGGACCCTTGACTTGTGAAAGGAGATTTGGCAAATCTTAATCGAACGCTAAATTCCATGTTCCCTATTCAGTTTTTCTCTGCTCCGTTTCTGTGCCCTGTGGATCCCTCACAGCCCATCCTGCTCTCCAGCTACTGCATAGCAGAACACCTAATAAAATGTGAAGTTTTTCAAATGCTTGCAAAATTTTGAATGTAAAAGGTCCAAACCTTGCTTGGTTTTGCTGTCCCCTTAAGTGTCAGGGAAGAAAACACTGAAGAAAACAAGCTGATGATGGTAATCAATCAAGTTTTTCACTTGGCAGAGATTGGTGTAAGGTTACTAAACTGTACACAAAGCGAGGACTCAAGAGGGCTTGAAGCTGACCCTGGAGTGGCTCTCTGTGCTGTGGCACTGCTTTACAGCAAATATGCGCTTGCAGATGTTCAGAACACTGCTTCACAGCTCTGGGAGTTGGGCTAACCGCTGCTGCTTTGGTACAATTTCAGTCTCACAGAGGCACAACTGGCTCTGTCCACTAACATCTCCCATGCCTCGGACCACCTAAAGAGCTTTTGGGATCCTGAGAAAAAAAACAGGAGGACAGGGGCTGGGATAAAGTAGCAAGGTTGGAGAGTGGTGCCATCCTGGAGACATTTGTGCTATAAGCCCCAGTGCTGAGGAGGCATGAAGACATGGAGGGCAGGGAGAGCTCAGGATAGCCTCGCTGTGATGGACAGACTGCTGAGGGACGCTTTCTCCAGGGCTTGCTCCAGCACCTGGGGATGGATCCTGGCCCCAGCCTGGCTGTCAGGTTGGGCTGGAGAGCAAGAGCAGGAGGGAAGAAGAGGGGACAGTGGCCAGCAGACCTTTCCGGTATCATAAACTGAAGGTGGTGCAGCATGCATGAAAAAGCATGACAAACTTGACCCACAGGAAAATAAAAGCCTGAAACTAAAGAGCTTTTCTTCAAGCAACATTGAGTAAAGCAGAGTCAGAGTGTATGTCTTCCTTCCCTGAGTGGCTTTGAACTCAAGCAGTAAAATCTTGGGAGAGTCTGTAAAAGAATCACTACCTCTGCCTGGAAGTATTTGTCAGTTGTTAAAACCACTGACAAGCTTAACCCCAGATCTGTTTTCTAATTTGAGGAGAGTGTCTGCTATATAAGATTAGTGTTCTCAAATTTCCCAGCTGCTAAAAACACCAGTTTCCGAGTATTAATGAGACCATGTCTAATATTTTACCCTAATGTGTTAAGTCAGAAGCTGGCATCACGTAAATTAACAAACTCAATTACCAAGTCCTATGGAGATTATCACCAGAGATGCCAAGAAATCAGGAGGAAGATGGAGAACTGCTAATGTTTATTTAAATAGAAAATTACAAAATTACTAGGGAAAAAGGGCATTTGCAGGCTTCAGAGTGATTCTTACAAAAAAATGCAGAGCAGGGGAGAGCAGAGCTAATGAAAAGCTCAGAAGAAAGGTCCTTAATGCTGTCAATGTAATGGCCTTGCTTTGCAAGATGGGCTGGCAGAGGCGCTGCAGAACTCAGGCTGCTAATAAATTATTACGTAATTTTTCTTTTATCATTAGTCCCTTCTGATCTTCCCTCATTTGTGTGGACAAAGAGGTGAAGCATCTGGAAATGATGAATACATCTGAAGAAATGAAGACACATTAATCAGACTTACCACCAACACAAGGACATTCATGAGCCGATCGATGCTCGTCCGTTTAAAAGTTGTTTTTCCACTGTTCTGCATTAGTTTGGTGTCTGGCCCTGGAGTTGAAACACATTCGTGAGTTTTAGTAATAAAGTTTAGCTGTTCTAAAGCTGATTCCCTCTGAGGCCCCGCTGTGCTTTACAGCATAAATACCCATCACAGCTTTCTTGAAGGCAGGTACATATAGTTTACAGTACTGGTGGGAAACTTAGGCAGAAAAAGGTTAAGTCACTTGCCTTAGATTATGTGGAGAGAGTCACATAAAGCCATTAATTCTGGATTTTGACCCTGCTCTCTTCTTTCAACAGTCAATCCTCCCTTTCAGGTTTAATTACTTTTCACAGAATACCTCATACTGCTGTGTTATTGGTGACATATTATACATCATCTCACATGTCTACAGCAGTATAGAAACAATAGAAGGTTCTATGCTCATAAAAAGCATAGATCTAATGGTCTACAATAATATTATTGATGACTCTGCTATTCCAATATGGATTAAAATCACGTAGAAACGATGTGGAATTTTTAATTGAATACACGTAAAAGTGAAAAATTTTGAACAAGTGTGGTGAAAGAAAGACTCAAATTGGCCCAGTGTGGGCCAGTAAAGGCAGATTTAATTCAGCTTTAATTCTTAAACAGATTCAGTTCTTATATTCTTTCTTATTGATTGATCAAGAGTTCTCTCATGTACTTTGCTGTATGCATTTCTGAAATAAAAGACTACTTCTGCTTACTAAAGCACTTAATCATGATGGAATTGGATGTTGTAATGTAGAATTTGAAATCCAGTTTTCTCTTATAGACCACCATAAAAAATCTTAGATTAAAATCCCCTGTAATATGCATAATTTCTAGCCTAGAGTTAAGCCAAGGGATCTCATGTATTGTTTTGTTTTTGTTCTTGTACCAGGTAGAAACATATTTTCCAAAGAGGAAAATACCAGTGCACACTGGGTGTGATGTGCTTCCTTGCTAGTGCTGCTATGCTGTGCAATTCACATATCAATTTTTACACCTACCAGCATAAATAACGAGACCAAAGCACCATTCTGTGTTCCTAATAGTACAGCCCCTCAGCAACATCTTCTCATTGTCCAGGGCATACTTCTCTCCTCGAAGAGTAAGAGTCCCTGTGAACTTATCCAGTTTGTTATTTGGTGCCTCACATTTGACTTCACCTGTAAAAGGAAGGTAAAAACAAAAATGGAAATCTTGGCCCAGAAAGATGTCAGTCAATACTGCATTCTCAGCTGTTCCCCAGACAGAATATTTCACATTGTAGCTGCAGTCCACTGCTGACCCTTGTCGTTCCCATCCTATATCCTATATTTATTGATGTTTTGGGATACTGCTCCTTCCCCATATTTGTGTCATAATCCAACGAACCGCAACGAGCTTGGATTTGTCCTATTCTTTGAACATGGCAATTTTTTACTGGTAGAGTACAAAACAAAGTTTCCACAGCTTTTATGTGGGTGAGAAGAAATATTGAACCAGCAACATACTTTTAATCCTTTCACAGCAAGTTCATAGTGGTAGGATAACTTTAGCTAAAAGTGCTGACCTCACATAATTCCTATTCCATTTTTCTTTAAAACTGCGGGAGCCCAAGCGAGAAAAATCATAGCCTGAAGACTGCAAAAAAGTAATTAAGTGAGGTGTCTTTGTTCACTGTTTTTTAATTTCATCTTTTATATAGTTTCATCAAGTTTTATAACTTAAGTCTCGGTGGCACATGCAAAAGGATACTGCTACCTTCTTTGGCCATGCAGCTGACACTCTAAGTGATTGGAGAGCCTGTTTCTATTTCCATGTTTATACTTATTTATTGTAATAAAACATGTTCACACAAAACTGTAAACACAGATACTTCAGTATAAAAATGATTATTTAAATCAACATTTGCACCTGACATCTAAAGATTCAAAGCAGAGCCCTGTGGATGTACTGAAAAAGAACTGGAAAATACAAATACGCCTTATTGAAACGGAATCCAAGAGTTCAGTCTGTTCAGTTAATCAACAGGAACATTAAAGTTATTTTGATTGCAGGCTGCCAATATCTATGTAAGGACTAGCATTTGCAAAGAATACAGCTAGTCCAGCTGTTCTCAGAGAAAACACACCAGGCTCAAGAGACTGGAAACAAAATCCAGAAAAGTCCAGAAGAAAAGTACAACTTTAAGTATTGGGGTAGTCTCCACCACTGCAAATTTTAAAATCAAGAATGGATGTTCTTTTCATAGAAAAGTAGCTTTACTCTAGGGCAGAGAAGTCATCAGACTTGAAAGATGAAGCAGTTCGGAAATTCTGTGACATATGTGAGCTCATACTAACTATGATCTATGCTGATCTTCTATTTTATCATCTAGTTAATCCAAGAACAATCAGGCCTGTACTCCGTCATTTCTAAAAGTCTACGGTAACCAGACCCGTCTCACTGCAGCCCTTGCAACCCCTTGAAAAGCACAAAGAAAACAGATGCTTTGCAGTGCAACCTGAAACACAGCACCACGAGGCTTTGGTGAGTGAAAGCCAGGGCATGATCCCCACCAGGAAGACTGTGCCTCTCCTCGTGCCAGCTGTGGGACAACGCTCGTGTGGGTACCTTGCACGTCAACATCCACGTCTGCTTTCCAGTAAGTGGGTGGGTCTGGGTTACTGGTATGCTGATTTCGAGAAGAGGTTAATCCAAATTAGACCGATCACAAAAAAATGAGAAGCTCTATACACCTGCACACCAATACACCTGCACTGACCCCAGTAACTCTGCAAGGCACCGTGCCTCCTGTCCCCTCCTCCCATTAACAGCAAGACGATACCTGAATGCATTTCACCTGAAAGAGTTAAATACTGCCAAGTCTACATGTGATAAGTAGTAGGTAACCGAAAATTATTGTTTCCTTTCTCATCTCCCAGTTCCCCAAATCAAATAAGGAAGTTCAGCGTTTTGCAAGCATCTTCCTTATCTGAACCATCGCGATGTCAACAAACATCATAACTCACATTAAGCATTCCACTGAGTGCCTGTATTAGCTGCTCAACCCTTTCCTCCCTTCCTGTCTTAAGAAGTAATTAGATAAAGAGTTACATAAATATTTAAATACTTCTATGGAGATTTGCTGGGGAAATGCAAGGTTGGGTTTGATTCCAGGCACTCTTCCCAGTACTCTGTCAAATATAAATCATCCTGGGAAACATTTTATTCATTTTAAGTATTGCAAAGAGGCCACTTTTATTTACAATGTAACTAAAATAGAGATTTAAAGGACAAATAAACACTTGATAAGAAAGTTTTAATTTTCCAAAATATTTTTAAACTTTATTTTAATTATGCATTTTCAAGAATGCAGTATCCTTAGATAAGCATTGCACACAAAATGCTTGAAAAATTATTTAAGATGAGGATTTTGCTTACAAATTGATACACACTGCAGCCGCTTCAGGAAAATAATTAAGGTGTGCCACTCTGACTATTAACATAAAGCATCTAACCACACCATAAAAACTATCTAACCATAAAAACATATTTCTCAAGACCTAAAACACTCAGAACCTCAGCCATCACTTCAGAGAAATCCTGATGTACTGAGCTGACACTCAGCTTAGACCACTCACATTATTTCATAAAACTTCAATGTAGAAAGCAAAAGAAAAGCCCGTGCCTTTAGATGATTCTACCAGAGGCAGTCCCAGCTATGCTAACTCTCTGCCACGTCCCCACTGTTTGTCCTGGAATCATCTAGTTATTTTGAAAAGAATTTTTTAAAAATTATTTTTCCTCTTTATCTAAAAATATTTCCTGAGAGCCTGCAGTCCTTGAGACATTCCAAGGACAGCAGCACTCACTCCACCCCTTTCCATACTGACACTTCCCGTGATCCTGCCCTCATACCTAAGCCAGCAGGGCACTGCGGAGCGTGACTAACACCACTTGGTCTGTTCCCCCATCCTCTCTCTGCAGGCAGATGATGTGTGAGCATGGAGTATTCTGTTTTTGACAGGTCTGGCTCCTTTCTGTATATGTGCTGCTATATATTCCCTGGTATCCAGTGATAGGAAGTGTGGGAATGGTTCAAAGCGGCACCAGGGGAGGTTTAGGCTGGACATTAGGAAGCATTTCTTCACTGAGAGGGTGGTGAAACCCTGGAACAGGCTTACTAGGGAGGTGGTCAATGCCCCAAGCCTGTCAGTGTTTAAGAGGCATTTGGACAATGCCCTTAATAACATGCTTTAACTTTTGGTCAGCCCTGAAGTGGTCAGGCAGTTGGACTAGATGATCATTGTAGTCCCTTCCAACTGAAATAGCGTATTCTATTCTATTCTATGTTTGATACACAAAACAGTGCTAAGAAAGGATAAGTTGCCCATTAGCCACATCTGTACTACTTGTCTTTAAATATCTTAAAATGCAGTCTTTACTGCGGCATCGAGAGAGTAGAGAAATGCTGGCAGGGCAAGGCTTCAGGCTGGGAAGTAGTAACCTGTCCTCTGTCCCCAGCTAGTCCTCAGGTCTGCACGGTGTCTTGAGTGCCGCTGCTCAGAAGCTAAATGTAATTGATACATCAGCATTGCTGCGTCAACGCAGTGTGAAAATATTTTGAGATCAGAACTAAGCATGCAGTTTTGGGAGAACAGTTTCCACTGTGCAATTACACGAACTCTTGCGTTGAAGTTTGAGGTGGGTAGTCTCAACACATGCAGACTGATGCTAAAGAAAAGTGTGCAGCCAGAAGGAGAATTCCCACCAAGGCAGTTTCAGGTTATAGCCATGCACAGCACCGAGACCTGCAGGTGAAGGGGGATCTCTTTCTCCATGTATGCTGTTTATGTCTGTTGTACAGACTGCAATGTGCCCATTCTGTTTCCCTGCTGCTGCATCCAGAAGAATCCTAGCAGGGAGCAGGGGGCAGCCAGGAGGGAAGACTCCCAGGCACTCTCTGGACAAATCCTGGTGTTTGGGCAAATCCTCTGGAAAGCGACTTTTCCATGTAGACTCACCATTGAATTCTGTCAGTTTCTGAAGATCTTCTCCAAGCTCTGCAGTGACTGTCAATGCCTGCTTCACCTTCAGGTTTGTTTCACTGTAACAGATAGCATGAGACAAAAAAACATGAACTGAAAGTCCTGTGTGAACCGAAAGCTCTCCCTGAAACTCACTTCTGCTCTTGAGGACAGTCTTCTTCCTTAGACATCTGATGGACCATGCCATCATCGGCCTTTTTTGTCTGGCCAAAGAGTGTAGTTGTCTCTTTCAGTTGCAAAGACAGGTAAGCCAGAGGAATTCTGGACATAATACCATGGTACCAAAGAGACTGAGATGGCTCTGTCTTCTCATTTTCACTGCAAAGTGCAAGACCAGGCATCTCAGCTCCCTGAGCAGCTCACTCCCTATCCTGCCACTCATACCACACTGAACCCTGAGGTATCTGAGCATATAAGAGAGCTCTGGATCTTCTCCCATGGTATTCTGGTCCTGAAGAGTACTCAAGTCCTGGGACTAGCTAGCTGGGGAGCTTGAAATGCAATTTCAAGGAAACACTGCATTTGTTCAGGGCCTCCTGGCACTTGCATGTACAGGAACTACAAGCTCATTTTCAGCAGAAGTCAGACAGGGAAAGTGCACAGGGCTGTCTATAGGGTATTGGGAGAGACACGACTTCTTGATCTCTCTGGACTTGCTTAGTCCTTCAAGCTGATGCTAGCTCCAGGCAATGCAGAAAAGGTGATGCAAATTGAGTCATAAAGATGAGGTCAGATCCAGTTTATTCCAATTAATACAAATTAGTTGCAGCCCTCTGACTTGTGGTCAGTGGTGCCCTGGAGTGAGCAACATTTGGAAGCCTTTGCAGTGTGCATGCATTAATATTATGGTATAGCAGTCCAAAGGAGATTACTGGAGTTATTCATTGTGATTATCTCACCCAGATAATCTGGCTAAGAGAAAAGACTAAGGGAGACAAAAGAAACAGAAAGCTTCTGCCAGTGACCTGGGATATTGCAAGAACACATTTCAAACTAACTCTCAGTGTTAGAAGAACTGTCACTAAAAATAAAAGTCCCCTCCTCACACGACATTTGCCATGAAAAAGGCAAAAGTATCCACCAGAAGATGTTATTTTCAAGATACCTACCCAAAGTTTATTCTATGTATTAGGAAACTCTTGCTACAAAAGCTATTGCAGGTAAGGTTGCAGCACCCAGACTCACCAGAGAAGATTTGGCCTTGCACTGGCATCAGCGATTGCACCTGAGGGCCAGGCTCACTTACCCGTCCAGTTCAGCTGTCTCAATGTATGTCAGGCTGTATGGCTCACTGCTCGACAGTAACAGTAGATCGGCCTGAAGATGGACAGACAGACTTGGCATGAGTTCACACGGTCAGAGGGCATGGCACCGCAGTGCTACTTGTGGTTTCTGCACACTGCAGGTCTCCGAGGCAGTTATCATCACTACTGACTCATTTGGTTGTGTGTGATGAGTGATTACAGAGACTAACTGTGAGCAGGATGGAGAGAAATTGTACTCACCGTCACAAAGTTGTTGTTTTCTAGTTTTATTATATCCCCCACTTGGACATTCATCCATTTTTCATCCTTTAACCTGCAAGAAAGTAAGTAGGCACATAAAGCAAACACCACTTGGGAAAGTAGGATACTGGGCTCTGCTCCTGAACCCAGTCTGTAGGTGCCATCAGGACTTGGGCTGCTGCTAAGATGGAGCATCGTCTGCCATCATGTGGCCTGATTCATACTAAGCTAAGGGACCACCACAATACAAAAAAGCAGTAACAGCAGTTGGGGTGACCTGTGCAGGGTTGAAACCAACCCCCACAATAGCAGCACAGTCCATGTGCACTGTCCTTCTGTCTCGACTGACTACTCCCTTCCTTCTCCTAAAGGGCCACATTGTCTCAGAAAAAAACTCTACTTTGCGTAACAGACTTCCCAAACACCTGGGAAAATTGCCAGTTGTGTTAGTTTTTCTAAGGGGTATTAAGGGCCACAGCAACAGATCTCGTTCTGTGCGTGCCTGGCTGTCAGGAAAGTCAATGCAGGTGCTTTGGCTGTGCATGTGCCTACCTCAGCCCACGTCTGCAGTGGCCTGCACAGCACTAAGCACGATGTGCACGCAGACAGCCAGCTAAACCGCAGGTGCCAACGTAACCAAGTCACGAAAGCAGTGTATGCAAAATCTAGAGGTGAGAAATACCAAGAGCTACATCAAAACAGGACTGGGTATTCAAGCTTGAGTTCATCTCAGTCTTGGTTTTTCAACGTTGGTCAGAGTTGGGCCAATGGTTTCCAGTTTTTGAACAAAGGCAAAGTATTAGAAAATTTCTATTTCAGTGTATTTTTCCTAGACACAGTAACTAATACACAGTAAACTAAGAAACTGGTTTACTTAGCAGAAAGCACAAAAAGTATGTTCCTGTTCTTCAGTTTCCAGTTATATTTGTAACTGTTTGATCATCTGTTGGGGTTTACACAACATACTGCTATCTATAGTACGGAAAAAAAAGTCACCAGAGACTTCACAGCTGTCTACAGCTGTGTCCTACATACAGCTGGACTCCATGGAGCTGCAAGTAAACAGCACATCTGTCTGCCATAAAAGCCAAAGCCTCTGCTATTTTTTCTGCAGGAAAGAACAGTGCTAGCAGTACAATGTCCAAAGCACACAGCTGAAATGTTTTGAGTACATCTCGGTCAGAAGTGCTACACACACTCTAAGTATTATGACATGTATGAGGAAGCTATTCCTGCTTCTTAATTTAAAATAACTTGTTGACAATGCCTGGTTTTGCTTGATGCAGAAATAAATGCTATGAACATAAATGGACACGGGAAGATAGCCTTGCTTGTCACTTCTAGGGTAAGGAGTAAAATAATACAATACTCTCCAAGTATCACTTATTTAAACACATATATATCCAGGAACAGAAAGAGTTTACTTTTTGTCAGTGCAAGGTTACAGCCATAATGATTGCACTGATTGTGGTACTGTGTCTTGGGTTCATTAATCAGACACGTAGTCCAGAAGTGCATGGTGAAATAATGATGTGAAAGACAATTCAATTTTTCATTGTTTAGTGATACTTGGGAATCACACAGAAAAAAATTATTATTAATAAAATGCCCTTCCCGGTTAAAATTACAGCAAAAGAGAAAGGACTTACATGCCATTGATCAGGACCTGGACTGGGCGGTTGTTGACGTGTTTGTCGCTTTTGTGTCGATTCTGAAAATTTGATCAGTACGTTAAAAGGCATTTCCAGGAAACCAAGCACACAAGAGCTGCAGGCAGTTCATTAACATTTTAGGTTTTCACCCAGCTGGCTGAATGGGTCAGGCAGATTAGAGTCACGACAGAGTCATAGTCGAGCCCATGTTTACAATAGTAACATCGGGCATAACTGGACTGCAAGGAGTAACAGGCAACACAGGGCTTGCTCTTGGAGGGAAGAAAGAGGGTGGAGCCTTATATGTCACTTAGCACAGTCCTGACTCAACCGGTGTCGGTCCTGCCTGTCATAGTTTTGTAAGCTAAGCACCCAGAGAAAGCCATTCCTCTGCTCTGATATGGAAAGTGGCCACAGATGTTCTGGCATTGTTCCTGGGAGAGCACCTCTCACCTGCCTACTTGCAAAGTTGCACTGAGTCTTCATAGAGCATCAAAATTATTCAATAACGAGTGAAAATCAGCTGCTAAACTCAGCTCTAACGTGACCCTGTGAAGTCAATGGGACTTTGACCATGAGCTCTGATGGGAGCAGACTTCGGCCAAAGCTGTGCAAGTTTCAAAAAATCACACACAGGTTGTATGCTTACTTCCTACTGAATGTTTCTCCTGCCTACGTTGCAGCTAGATAGCAGAGAATGAGTTCTCCAAAGTGGAAGCCTAAGAACAGACTTCTGTGCATGCGTCCAGACATATCTATCAGTGACCACATTTTCAGACACGCTGAGCAGTTTCAGAGAAAATCAGTGGACCTGCTGGCTGCTCAGCAATTGGGAAAATCTAGCTTCTTTTTAGGTAATGAACCATAGGTTTGGGGATCTAACCTCAGACCCCATCTTGGCCACAGACCAGTTCTCCAACTGCCTGCCACTGGCTGTGTTTATTTTAAGTGGTTTGCTTTACTCATTGTACTGAAGAATCACAGGCAAACTCCAAAGTACAGGCCAGCAATACACATCTTACAAAATCATCGATGGCATCCTTGACTCCCGATACAGCCAGCACCAGCACTAGGGGCACCACCGTCGTAAACCAGGCCAGCGAGGAAATCTGAGGAATCAACTGTAGGAAGAAAAGATCTGAGTTGAGAAATTTCCTGCCAGTTCAACAAACAGATGGAAACAAAACGCTTCTTTCTGTGGAAGCTGCAGATAGCATTTTTCTATTACATCTGAATACAGAATAAAGACAGAAATGCAGCTCTGTCACTTATATGTGACCCCACAAAGGTGGGACAGCCAGGGAACCCACGCTTTGCTTACAAAACAAGCTGTAATTCAGGATATAAACACGGATCTGTCAGGAAGTGCAGCGGGTTGCTCTTTCTTGTTGTTTGTAACATTAGGATTGCAAAGTCCCCAGTGGATTTCTCTGGAGGCACTGACATGGGCAAGCCTGCTCTGGCAAGCCCAGAGCCATCTGAGCAAGGCCTGCTGTGCAGAGCTTCTAAGTTTTGCTTCAGTAACTCTTCACATTTTGTTGAAGTAAACTTCATATCGATAAACAACACACAGCTGTTGCCAGGGCTGAGCTTCCTCTTCCAAGATCAACAGACCCATTTTTGTTTCCCACATCTTTAATAGCGAGAGGACCCAAGAGTTGAAGGTGACTCTGTCATGCCTTCAGTGATGCAGAGGTGGATGTCTTACCCTAGCATAGTTCTCCCCTTCCTCTGGAAGAACAGCACTGACGATGGAAGCAATGCGATACCAGCATCACTGTGTCCATCAGATTGGATTTGGGCAATGTCAACTCCATGTGCATTGTGAAGTTGACGTTTATGCCACTAAAACAGCTGCTTAAGGGTGGAGAGCTGTTCTCTGAGATTGCTCCTTCCGCTGCACTGTCACAACCCAGATCCTACAGGCACCACCAAATCCAGCCAGAAGAAATGACGTTTAGAGGCAAGCACAGCCCTGCTCAGCTGTGGAGGCTACAGAGACACATTAACTGCTACCTTCTCACCTAACTGGGAATATGCATGTCCTACTGGGCTGCGCCAAAGGGGTGGGGAGGCAGAGTCCCCTCAGCCTACCCATCACATCCACTCCTGATGCGGGAAGAGAGACTGCCAGTGCCACAGGGGTGGAGTGAGTGGGCAGAAGAGGGCAAAAATTAAATGGAGGAATATGTAAGCGTGAAAGACTAATAGCTGCCCTCTTTAGCCCACCTTGATGCAAGTAGCAGAGAAAGCTGTATGCTTTTATATATTCCTAGATGGTTCAGTGAAAGACACAGCGGAATAATTTAAGGCAAATAGTTTGAAATACTATGAATTTGATAGACAAACAGCTAGAGTGCAGTACAACAACACAGGAACAGTGCTGTCAGCTTAGCTGAAAAGGCACTTTCACTAGTTTCTTGAAAAACATATGTGGGCTGAAATTTCCCAAATTCATTCCCTGTAAATACGCAAAGAAGATTGTATGTAGTTTGCTACAGGCTTAAAAAAATTTTGCCTATGTTTTTTTGAGCTGAAATTGAAAAAGAGCAGTTGAAAAAGGTAATTTTGCAAACTTGTGTGCACTGAAATGGTCAAATTTAAAATATAATACTTGAAACATAATCAAAATTATACCCTTTTTTTGATAACATGTATTCCAGTGTGACTCAGGAACAACAGAGTACACTACACTTATCGATATTCTAGCAAAGTGCAAAGGGGCAGAAACCTTGATATCAATTTCTGTGGTGCATTCGGTTTTCAGACAGAGTAGTATTACCAACAGCAATGGGCAAAGTGCAATTCAATGCCATTATGAGCCACAGGGTTCAATAGTGTTGCCAGTGACTGACAGGCTCCGTATTAGACGCCTTCCTCACCCTGCTGAGCAGGGAGCAGCAATATTCAGCTTTATGCAGACTAGCTCCAACCTTGAGCCTTCCTGATGTTAACTCCTTCCTTCCCAGGGAAACAGTACAGGTTACAAATTTGTTCTTCTTCTTGCTGTTTCCTTTGAGACTGCCAATGGAATTTGCCTTTAAAGCTATGGATGAGAGACAACTTCCTTTTGTACTACAGGAGGAATAAGTAATGCAAATCTGAGGACAGCCAGGAGCACTCAGATGTAGACACAAAGAGGTAGTAGGATAGGGCATGAAAAAGATTTGTTTTCAACAATTTGTTGAAAACTTTAATTAAATTTTTTTCTTCATATAGTTCAAACACTCATATCCAAAGGTAGGAGAGGAAATTGCTTTTTTCTGCCCTACTTTCTATCTACTTTAATGTTTTACTAAGACAGTAATTCATAACAGGGATATAGCTTGCACTTTATTACAACTATCAATACATAGACCAGCTTTGATAACAGACAGTGTAATGTGCTAGAAACAGCACAATGAATTCATACCTGCAAAATCAGCAAGAAAAGAAAGTAAGCATTGGCTATTCGCTGAAACTGTTCAAACAGGTTGAGAGGCAGGAAAGTGAAGAAGTTGTATTTTGATGTTTTAATTGAATTGTTCTGTAGGGAAAAGTTTGGTAAAACAGGAAACAAAATTACAGCACAACCCATTTCAACTCTGTTTTTACTTGCTTATATTTAGCAATAGCATTGTTTCCAAGAGCAGCTCAAAAACCATTTCCTTTTCCCCCACACAATCATGCCGAGCCTGGATAAACAGGCAGAATTCCTCTTGGAATTGGTGAAAACATGATGCTCAGTTTATGCCAGTGCAACTGCAGGTAGATACAGGTACTTGTAGTCGCTCACAAACAGAGATGCATCTTCCCTTTATTAATAGTCTTCCTACTTACACAATGCACAAATAGAATTAAAAACTGTAACCAGAACACAACAATTTTGCTGGTAGTGTCTACAAAGCAGTGTTAGAAAACACATGCTAGGTCAATTATCTATAACTTGTCTGAGACTTTGAAGCACCATTCAGCTGGACAACTCCACAGGAGCTATAGGTCCTCCCAGGAGCAGAACATGACATTATTATTTTCAGCTGATTCAGCAGCCTCTCAGGTCAGCAACTTGGAGAGGTGGCTTGTTTCTATTCCACAAAGATCACTTGAATGCGTTGTTGTGCAAACAGCCACTAATACAAAAACTCACCATTTCAGTAAGTGAGTTGCAGTTTTGTTCCTTCTTTCCAGTTTCCTTTTCTAATTGCAGACAGCCCCTCCAGCCACAAGCAATGGCTGCTCCCCTATCTGTCTTCTTCAAACCAGAGAAAGACCCAAGCTTGAGATTACAGAACTGGGTATTTTCCTCCCCAAAGATCAGAGCGATCTGGTCCAATTCTTGCCATCTGACAGACAGGCTCAATCCGTCATACTGAGCCCACCATCTTGGGCTGTCCCTTCAGTTTTTAGGTGTGTTAGACTTTATTTTCACATGAAGTTTAACAAGCACTCATCCAGGTTTAGTCCTGGAAGCATGTATGCCATCTGTTGCCAGCACATCTAAAATTTCCCCCCTAGAAGCTCTCCAGAAGATGCCTATTAACCCCCCTCCCAGAGAACCTAAGGTGTGACAGCACAAGGAGGCAGATATTACACAGTGCACCTTCATTCAGTAATAGATCTGCTGGTTCAACGGAAGAAAAAATGGTGATTGCAGTACTGTAATAGCCTTCAAATATTGCTAAGCTGGTGGGAGGACACGAGCTAAGTATGAATCACAGACCACTTCCAATTCATGCATTAATCCAGGATCTCGACATCTAAACTGATACACATCAGCATGTTTCCACCATTAAACCAATTATTTAAGTTTACCACTGTAAGGTGTATATGGGAGAATATGGATTTCGCTATGTCCAGACACAAAGTACAGCAACATTCTTCAGCATTAACTTCGTGTTTTATCCCTGGTACAAGCCCATGAATAAGTCTCTAAAAGAGCAGAGACGGAAACGCCCTTCATGGAAGAGCTAGCCAAATCCTCCCATTGATTGTACTCCAGCAAGAAAAGATGTTTATCAGTGATCATCATATAAACAATATTGCCTGTCTCCTGGCACCATGCAGCCATCTCTGGGTGTGGTTAACTCTGCCTGTGATCTAAATGTCATGACACATAGTTAAATTTGGTTTATTTCAAAATTCTTCACCATGGGATATGTGCTGCACACAGGCTCCACGGACACTGATAAAACAGAAGCAATGGAATAGCAGCATCCTCTGCAAACCCAACATACAGAGAACTAAATTACTTGACATGTCTGTGTCCACCAGACACTAAGTCTGGCAGATTTTTTAATAAAAACTGGATCTACAGATCCTGCCCACTAATCTGAAGAAAAATATCATGGTCACTTACCTAAAAAAGAGAAGACATTAGCTGCAGGAAGAAGTAAATACAGGGGACCCGACCTTTGTGCATCAACAGATTTTGCAGGGTCACATACAACATGGGAAAAACTACTCAGTAAACACTCACATAAAGTTTGTAGATCCTTGCCTGCAAAAATCTTGGAGGGGGATAAGAGAAGAATGGAAGTGGTTTATTTAAATTCCTGCCTTCTATTTCTGTCCATTAATTACGTCAGGAAAACCACTGAATGAACCAGAGCCATTCATTTTGTTTCCTATTGCCATTAGGCATGGTAAAAACCGCAGACATAATGGCTTCCAAATGCTTAACTGCAGGAATCTGGACATCCAATATTTTCTCCATAGTAGTTCAGGATCGTAATACTGTTTGGGACACCGGGACACTACAAACCTCAGGGTAAGGGCAAGGAATATTATAGTGGATCTTCTCATTATTCTAGAATCTATAATTAAAACTAAGCACCAGAAAAAGAGAATTCCTCATAATCACTATGAAGATTTCTAATTCTAGAAGTAATTTGTTCATGGCCCTCAGGGGCTAAAGAATTATCAATATTAAATGATAAAAACAAACTAGGGAAAACTTCAGCCTTTCCAGTTCAAAGCTCTGCATTCCTACATCACAGGTACAGTTGAAGCTCATGTGTTAGATATCATTTATGTTTTCATGCAATATTCCAGGGCTGTGTGCTCTGGCAGCTCGGACTCTCGGTTGGCTACAGAGAAATCTCAGTTGGCCTCTGCACTTGCTCTTATCCTACTCCGTAATGCTTAACACCATCACGCCCTGTCACTCCTTTAGAGCTGTACCAGAACCTCACTCTGGGGTGGGAGGGGTACTACAGGAACCTGCAGCACCGCAGTGTGTTAAACAGTCCATACGCAGCCATCATTTTATAAGCAATGCCTCTAACGGATCATCTGCCTTACCTCCTCCATGCTCTGCTTTCAGTGAGGGAGACTCCCATATGGCAAAAGTGATGGAGAGGAAATATCTTTGAAGCAGCAATTAAGTATTAAGAGGCTTTACAGGAACTTCTAGTTCTCCTATAGATTTATAAAAATCAAACATCTAAGAAAAGCAGCTCTGTGGGCCAAGCACAAGGATGGGAATTGGGATCTTTACACTTACTCCCAGATCTGCCCTAGACTTCTGGTTGACCGTGGGCAGCCCCTGCGTGTGCCAGTGTCCTAAATGAATAGGCTTGAGCGTGGTTACCCACCGTCAGCCTCAAGCTCTCCAGATGCAAAGCTTGACACGAGAGCAACGTTGTCTGTGGGTGAGGGATTATTCTCATCTGCTCTTTTCAGGGGCTAGATTCACACCTCCTGGAGGTGTGACTCCACCGAAATGCTGTCCCTAAGAATAGTGCTCATCGCGCCACAGTTACACAAGTCCAGATCTGATGGATGAGCTGTTCCTTGGGGGTGTTTTCAGAAGCCCGCCTGTGACGTCCGACCGCGGGCAAACGCTCAGCAGATGGCTCCTGCCTTTGTTCACTGAGCAAACAAATCATCTCCTCACCATAAAAGTCACTGGAAATAAGAGACACCATTGCTTTTGTGGCTGGATTACAGGGGCTAAAGGGTGATACCCAGAAAAGGCAGGGTGTGGCAGGGTATTGACCATCTGAATTTATACCCCTGGCTCAGTGACATATTAGTTTCTAGCAGGTGGAGAACCAGGCCCAAAGCAAATTTTAGCAAAACCTTGGCGATCCTGCAGGGAGGTGCTGTGCCACGACATCTGGCAATTTCACTGGTACCTGTGTAGCACAAGGTGCAGACCAATGAAGCAGCTGAGAAGCAGAAATGGCTTTCCCAGGTGCTTTGATAAAGCCTTGCATGGAGTCGGTGGGAGCGCAATTCAATGGCACTTTGTTTAATTGCCGCGGTGCTATTTGAAAGCACGCAGATGCCATATGCAGAAATGTGACCATAGGGCTGTGAATGTGCTCAAGGACATATTTAATAAACTCATGTAACAGGGCATGTGGTGCCACGGAGGCTTTGTTTTCATAGGGAGTACAGAATAGTCAGACCAGATCAGTTTTAAGCCTACCAAGTTCACTGCCTTATTCCTGATGGGGGGCAGCAGCCCCAACTCAACAGAAGACTGAGAAAGACCAACAGGATGCTGATGGGGTTCGTCTAAATTAAGCCAATTGTATGAGGTTTAGGCTGGAAAGCTGCCTGGCAGAAAAGGAC